ACTAAGTAGAACTACCTGGTGCTTGCCATAAGTATGCTTCTGGATAGCCACTACAGCTTAGCTGATGTACAGTAACTCAATTGCACAGCTGAGCCTAGAGTTAATCTTTGCAGGGAAAAAAAAAGTTAACCCCTCGTAAGTACTACTAATTATTTTTGCTCGCTCTTACATAAGTGTTCCTCATATGTAGGTCTCAGAATGCTTTACACAGATACTCATCACTGTCTCTAATCTACCAAAAGGAAAACTGAGCTCTGAAAGCCAGATTGTTAAAGGTCACTGATGCTTAGCAGGATTTCCTACAGTACCTAAGCAGGTTAGAGAAGTCAACAGGAGGGAGGAGCTCCAACTGCTAGCAGATACACACCTGCAGTGCATGCTGTGCTGAAAATCAGGCTACGGAGACAAACAGTCAGAGGCAGAGATCGCTTTGTGGATCTGACCCTAAACAGCTTTCTCAAAATCCCACAATCAGAAGAAAGGGGCAGGCTCTTCCAAGCCTCTCCTTCACCAAATAGTCTCTCACCTGCCTGTTCTAAACTGTCTCCTGGGCTTGCAGGCCAGGGATTACCAAATCCAAAATGCACGCTCATGTGACTAGAGCCTGGTTTTTTTAGCAACCAACGACTCCTGGGGGTTTTTTAGCTTTGAATGCAAGCAAACTGTCAGTTGAACTAAAGGAGGGTGTCTCAAACGCAGTGTCACTTGGTTATGGCTCAGCACAATGGCTCACCCTGTTACTTGTCTGGAGGACAGACCCCGCTGGGCAACGACACCCGTGCCCCGCTATCACTTCAAGGTACCACTCTGCAAACAAAGCGACAGCATTAACGCTCCCCTCCGAGGGGCAGGTATGCCTCCCGTCGCACAGGATGGCAGCAGCCAGGCCAGCAGCTGGCCCTGGGCACCGCCACAAACACATTTCCTCTCTCCCAAGACTACTCTGGGTCCATCTCCTTCCCTCCCTCGAGAGATGCAGGGAACTGCAGCCAACAACAGCCATGCGGCAGGCTGTGGGATGCTCCGGGCTTTCTGCCATTCACTAGGATAGGCGTCATGGAAGATTATCCTCCTGCCAGCGAGTCGAGGGCTGGCAGCTACTCAGCCCTCAGCCCACAAAGCAGTATCTATCGGCCTGCCCTCAGGCACAACATTTTTCTCTCCTCCCTGTCTCAGCAACAGACAAACTGTTTTCTCCTTAGCTCTCTTGCCAGGTGTACCTTTCCTGACGGGAGGTAACAACTGTCCCCTGGAGCTAGTGGCCGGTATTGTACTTGCTGCTCAAACTGACTTGCGAGATCGGTGTCATTCAGACTCAGGCAAAGGCCAAACCATCTACCTGATGAGGAAGATGCTGAAGAGGCTTCTTCTGTCTTTATGAATTCTTCTGTCTCACTGCTGTTCTCTTCTCTGGATATGCTCATGGCCGTCATCTGATGGGTCACAGGAGTCTGAGCACTGGGAGCATTTGCAGCAAACAAACAAACAAACATAGAGCAACCACAAGTATTTTCTTTTGATGAACAGTTATGTGGGAGATATCTTCAGCCCATAAAGTTAATTTTATGATACTCAGAGGTAGCTCAGCAGGCCAATTCCCTTTGAGATTTGGGATCAAAGTTCTTCATAGACACAAATGGAATGAATCTATGATGACTTCAGTTTCCTCTTTCACCCAATTATATCTCAAAGCCAAGACAACAGCCCGTCCAAACAAGTCCAGGGACAGGGAAACAGAGTCATGAGTCAGGACTGTAATGCCATGGTAGAGCTCAACGCAGTGCTACCTTCCTTCCTATCAAACATGACTGAGGTCCCTAACCCTGCTGTCGCAGCTTCCAGACTGCATCATCACCAGGTGCTTTCACTTAGGACTGAGCTGCAACCAACCAGTTTAATACAGCTAGTGACAGACAAGGTGCACTGGCTCCAAGAGAACCAGGATGCCACTTCATTTACTACAGATTTTAATTTACTACCGACCCTCTGGTACCTGACTGCGCATCAGTCATCATCATCAGGGACATCTCGGTCTTCCAGACAAACCAGGGTCACAATGGACAGCGACCCAGCCCGCTTTACAGATCCCCTTGGCCATATGAAGGACGAGAGCCTACCCCTTGTGTCCCAGGGCTGGTTTTTAGCAGGGCTGTAGATCCCCTTACCCTGTAGGCTATGCCCCTACCTGGCTTTCACATCCTCGGGCGTGGAGTCTCCCTCTGCACGCTGCCCTGCAATCGAGTCTGAAGCCATTGGGCTGCTGTTGGGACCGCTGGGAGCTACGAGACAAGATTACAGTCTTGGTAAACTCTTAAAAATGTCAGCAAGTTGCTCAGGTGCTTGACAGCCAAGGAGAAAGCAGGATGAGCACTTTCAGCAGGCTTTAACCTGCTGCTCCCTTCCAGGAGCCGGGAGGGCACACCCCAGCTGGGATCACTCCCAGATCCCTTATTCTTATACCCTCCCCTCCAAATCTGTGCATCCGTCTCTGTGGGGACAACACATCAGCGCTGGACGGACCTCACTGTGACCCAGTGCAGCTATTCTTACATTAGATCAGGAATGACTCCTCGTATCAGGATCATAACATCTTTCTGAAATTAGCTGCTCATCTTCCTGAGGACTGCAGGCCTCGTTTATGGAGACCTGTTCAGCTCCTCAGGATCTGCGAACTCCCTTTTGAGGGATGACAGTTTATTCGCAGGAGTTACGTGCTGAATGCCTTCCATTACTGTGTTTTTTAATGTCTGGTAAAATCTGACTTCAGTCACCCATGACGCCTCCATCATTCTTTGATTCCCCTTCTTTTCCTCAAAATTGCAAAGCGAACTCCACATCAGCATAAATATTCTCCTGTCAGCATAAATGAAAGTGCTGCACTTACTAATATACCTTGAACCCAACATTACTCTGCAACTTCTCCAACATGTAAGAACCAGATCCTCATCTGCTGAAAGGAACTGGCTTCAACAGAAACACGTCTGTTTATGTCAGCCGAGATCTAAGTCAGGGTCTTTGGAAAACCCCTTTGTCAGGAAGAGCTGTATTTTGGGTGGGTAATTCAAGGAAAGCCATTATTACGCTCAGGAACAAAACTGCAAAAGATCTCTGGAAGGCATTTCTAACCAGTATTGCAAAGCCTGTACATGGGGCATCTCTGAAAACTCTCAGCAAAAGAAAATCCTGCTAATGATGGAAAGAGCAACCTTCCCGTGCACCTAGCTGCCTCCCAGCTCGCTGATACAGCAGCTCTGTTTAGCTGCAAGAAACAAACCCTTTATTTCATCACTTTTGATTTTCACCACTGTTAAGATAAGAAAATTATGCAAGCCCAAAAGGCCAAATTCTTCCCAAATAAAAAGGCATTTCAGGCATCTGTTGTGATTCCCAGCAGCCAGCACATAACTCAGGGAGCAGGTAATAGCTAAAAATCTGGGCCACTGGTAGTGCAAGCGACGTTTTACAGTTTACTGGAAGGTGCTGACTGGGATGGGGCTTCACAAACAGCTGGGACTGGGAAGAAAACAGCTGACCCCCTTACAGGGAACAGAAACGCTCGAAGGCTCAGGTCTTTGATTTAGAGGCTTAGGTCTACACGAAAAGGGAACGACACGAGTTTTCCAGGATGGAATAAATCTGCTGGTGGCCAGTAGCAGTACCACGCTCTATCCCAGTTGCTTAATACCGTTTGCACCCAGGCACCCATTTAAGACAGATTTCTCAGGCAAAAATCCTCTACCTGGGGGGCTTATCCGGTCACTGCTCTGCTGCCTCTGCAGAAACTCCTTATAGCAAACGGAACACATCCCATTAGTCCGGGGGCTGCCATAAAATCCACAGCCTGTGGTACAGAACAGGGGCACCTGCGTTTGGTTTGTCTCCTGAGCCATCCTCTCTCCTCCAAGGCGCCAAGCTACAAACAGGAATAAAAATGAGACAGCTGTTAGGGCCGGAGCGCTCGTTCATTGTACGCTGCAGCTGATCAGGAAGGAGCACAAAGGATCCCAAGAGAGTCCGGTTCCTGCACGTGCACAACAACGCGAGCTGCGTCCCTTGAGCAAGGGATACCCAGGGCTCGTAAGCAGCCACAGGATCTGGGGCCTGGGGCCTTGAGCCGCCCAGAGCTCCGCTGCCAGGAGGCTGCCCAGAGCCAGGCTGAAAAGCCGACAGGAACCGGCTCCTGTTCCTCGCAGCACGAGGCTCCCCAAACTCCCAGTGAAAGACACGCACATAAGACCTGAACGGTCCGCTCTCCAGCGGTACCAAGAAGTGCCATCGCAGCGTGACTAATGACTCCTGCAAACACCGAAACAAAGAATGCCACTCAAACGGCCAGCGTCCAGCCTAGTTATGTTTCACACTTAATGGCGTTTGTTTTCATTTCAAGCCTGTTTTACATTTTACTTCTCAGGAAGATGATGCAAGCGATGCAAAAAGAACCCATTGACTCTCAGTTTTGACATACTCATGTATTTCCTGACACATGCTGGCAGATAAGGGGAAGTGGCATAGTTAGGCTGGAAGTAAGAATAAGGTTTCTTTCCAGATGCGATTCTGGAACACCTTCCTGGGGGAAACAGCAGACACAGTGAAACCTACTTTTAAAATGAATCGTAATGGTCTGGATCACATGCAGTTGCCTCCAGACCCAGGAGCTGGCCCCCTCCAGCCACACATGGTGGAGCATTTACACGGCCAAACCGCACTGCACCCCTTTAAACCAGAACCATACGCAATAACTCCCAGCAACAACAAACACCGATTCAGATGTGTGCGACCAACGTGGCCGCAGCCCGTCCAGCTTCAGCGGAGGACAAGGGGAGAGGGCGCGTGCGGGACCGTGGCGGCGCAGGTGGCTCCAGCTCGGGCGCAAAGACCCGACGCCGCTACCGGGAGTCCCCGGCAGCGATCCCCTGCTCCCGGCATGGCAGAACAAAGTATCCACCACTTCACAGCTAACTGCCGCTTTCTTTCACGCTCCTACAAAACTTGCTCCGCTGAGGGAGTAAAACAACAGGAACGTGAAACAATTACCCTCCCAGGAGCGCTCCCGTGGGATGGAGGTGGGTCAGCTCGGGTTTATTCCTCCTTGTCCTCAGCTGGGTGCATGAATCTCCGCTCTG